TACGATAGCCTAGAAAAGCAAAACCTGCATCTACTTGAACATATCTGTACACGTGGCAGTATGCTCGGTACCGTACTGCGTCATGATCGATTGCTGGAGCCGTATTAATGTGCCGTCAATCCGCACCAATTTCAGAGTAAATGCAGCGATACTCATCGAACACCATGCGCACAATGCAATTCAATGGCATTGATCAATGTTCGACTGTCTTCTTTTACGGTTTAACGACCTTACGGGAAACCAGATACGAGTAGGACCGTACGTCTCTCCTTATTATTCACTATCAACCCCATTAATGTTCGCGCATAAACCACCATTTTCACATGGTGCATTTCAAGATGCTCATCCCCGAATAAGAGCAGTGACAGGCAGAATCATCGAAGATCATGGACTTGATCCATTCAGTCAGTCACAATTGCATACAACTGAGATCTTTTTGGCAAGCGCAGGACGGCTTTGCACATTAGGAGATTTTGTTTATAGATGCCGATGAGTGATTCAATTTGAATATGACGCGATGTATAGGATGCTGATTATAGAAAATGTACGGGGGATATCATCTCATCTTCATATGGTACCGGTATACTGGTTGATATGCCACATTCTCAGGTAAGCACATGCATTATATATGGTCACCTCTTTGGATATTCCTGTTGTGTAAAGGTCAGCACAACGCGACACTTGCACTTCTTGGGCTTTGAGCCTACTCTAAGAAGTGCGTAGTAAGGCTCACGCGAGACGCTGCAGGTCGATCCCATCAGGTGATACAAGCCTTCGACTATATAATGTCGCATTCCAACTTTACACCATATCAAACTGATGTCTCGTTCTGACACTGATCTACTGGATTCCTTGTCCGCCGAACTCACTCAGCGGGTAAAGGAGCACATAGACCAAGCCCTGCTCCAGTTTATACGACCGAATTTCAGTATGCTCAATATGCTCCCGAGTTGGCAAACTTCCGCGAGGCCATCGCGCAAAATGACTCGAAGGACGATATTCATTTTCTACATAGCTTCCGAGAATTTGTTCCTACCACAGACTATGAGCCTCACAAACCATACATAGCAAAGTTTTTCGCGACCCAATGCAAGAAGTCCGACGTAACAGACCTATTCGCCCCAGGACTGCCCTACTGCTTAGCCATGTCCAGCATGACATCTGGCAAATCATTAAAGATGCTTCCAACATACTGGCCCGCTCCGCACTTGTTGCACCACCCTCTATATCTGTGGCTTCCTCGTTCAGAGGGTAGTACCTTATCACCATCTTCTTTGAGTATCGGGCAAGTCCTGAAATTGTATAGTGAGGGTGGTCAGAGCTCCAAGACGTTGCCGGTCTGCTCTTTAACCGTCGGTTTTCTCCGAATGCAAAAGAATTGGGACATCGAGCATGACATGGACAGACTCAACTTGTGGGGTAAGTCCGTTGTGCTGCTTTCTTTCCCTTGCACCTGCTGATATCCAGCCCGCTTGTAATTCCGGGGAAAACAGATCCGTACGCGATTTCCTTGTTGAAGGGCTTTCGTGCTTTCTTCCTTTTGAACGCGCTATTTGCACTCGCTGACCGTCGGGTGACAACCATCCGCGCCCTCTTCGCCAATGTATTCGTCAATCTATTGCAATACATAGAGGAGAACCTTTGGAGGTTGTATCTGCGGTGATTATTACTTTTCATTCAACTCACAAATCCTCTCAGAAACATTTTACTCCAAACCTTATTCGTGCTGCCGAACTTCGCGAAATTGGACCTCCTGGAATCCAGGGATGGGCCGTCCGTGTGTGGCCTGACTTTAAAAAGTTCATCGGGATCACACCTGTGACTCCCGCATAAGGACAGTAATAATAGGCGATAACACATAGGGTTCGCACCTGTAAGACGAGGCAAAATCAGCGTGTCAGAGCCTCCTTCTATATTGTTTGAATAAAGAGGAACTTTATACTGCTAGGACGTAGGTAGCACTGTACTACCACCGGCATGTCGGCAATGCTGTGACGTGTTCCCGGCACCGGCTAATAATATCCGAATGTTCGTGCTCGCTGTGTCGTACGATGAGCTCACGTATCTCATGATGATGTGAACGTATTGGAGGCGCGTTTCGACGCATGGCATTCAAGTAAGTATCACGATACGTACATAAACCCTCTGTGTCCATAAAGTAAGTAAGGCTATGTAATATCATTATTCATCCTCCTCCTCCTCCTCCTCCTCCTCCTCGTCAGATGACTCTACAAATTCAGCACTTTTTGGGGCTTCCCGAAGCCGAGCAGGGGCCTCCTTCGCCCTCTTTGATGATTTTCGATTATTCTTGTTTGATGTGGGCGGAACCTTGCGCTTCCGAGCTACTCCAGCGTCCGAACGCTTTTTTCGTGGCTTGCGAACCACCTCCCCAGCTGACCGGCATGCATCGAGTTCAGCGGTGTGAGCCTTGACTTCCGCTGGTGACAGAGTGGTCCAAGAGCACATTCTAGTCTTGAGTGCGTCCCGAAGCCTGCGAATGTCACCTACTGTGCCAATGTTCGACGGGCTGATAAAGTCGACACCTTCAGGCCATCCTACAAGGCGCACCCCATAGGCTTCGACGATAGCTGTTTCGTAGTTGGTGTAGTTCATAACTATGTCCTTTTTGCCGGTGATTGAGACTGGAGATGATGTTAGATGGGGACAGCGCACACAGACAATGTTGTTGCTCACCCAGGCCCCAAATAATCAATTTCCGTACCTGTTTCCGTACCGCCTCTAAGGAATCACGTTCATTGAGATCTATGGGACAATGAACAAGATAAAAAGACAGTGTGAACTAAGACTTACTTTGATTCTGGGTACAAGCCCATTGCTCGTATTGCCTGAGAAAGTCAGCCATGGGGTGCTCGTACACGTCCTCCCAAAAATCCTCTGAGTTATCCGTGCCGTGCATGGCACTTTGAGTCGTGTCGTTAATGTGACCGCGGACAACGAACAATGTTGCATAGATGCCAGTGCGAATTCGCAAGTCATCGAGCTTCAAAAAGAGTCAGTTTATTGTAGTCGAGATGAAAGCAAACTCACCTCCTTGACAATCCTCTCTGTCGTGACGAGAACATCCCGTGCAGCTGCCAAATTGTTCGCTCGAATACTGACTACCTTCTTTTCACGATACTCCTCGAGGGCCATGATGTGAGCGGCCTTTTCGTCCTTTGTCAAACTTTTCGTTTGAGGGTCATTTGCGACCATGTCGCGGAGCTCCGCCAAACTGTATCTAGAGCCTGCAGGTAGATCTAATCAACATAGATAAGTAGCCCAATATCATCAAGAACTAAAAACTCATTCGACTCACCTACGTTCACCTCCATTGCCTTGGCGTGAACAAGGGCATTGATTAATTGACTCTTGCGTGATGTGCGATAGTGTGTCTGACTCCCAATGATATTGTTAATTTGCTTCGGAGTGACGTTGTGAGCCCGTGACAGTGCTTCAATCTTCGTTTTCTGTTCGTCCAGATATCCAGCGACGGCATCGTGTAAGCGCTTCATTCTCTCAATCTTTTGGTCCCTCTTGATCTTGCGAGAAGCCTTCTGTGCATCTGTGAGTCGAGGCGGTGGTGTACGAGGACGGATGATAGGGTGTGTTGGGTTCCGTGCTGCCCAGCTGGATGAATTAGCCTGGCACAGGGGCTCTGAACTCTCATGACTGAGGGAGTGTGTTTCAGAAGGTTCACCAGGAGGAATATCAGGGGGCGAGTTTGAAGTTGTGACTGGTGGGGTAGCAGGGAGATCGGGGTGCGAGTTTGTGACTAATGAGGGGGTAGGGAGCTGTGGTGTGTTGTTGGTGGCTGTAGTATTGGACGTGAGAGCTGCTATCTCGTCGCTCGTAAGCGGCATGGTGTAGAGTGCTGGGTTGTCCCAATCGATCTCGTTGATCGAGAGAAACTCATCATCGGGACCTTCACTTTCGGTCAGGAGATTTGGGAAGTATCTGGTAGAGGTGGTATTGGTGAAATTGCTGTCACCTTCGCAGTCGTTAGCATAGTAGATATAGCTCATGGTAGTCGGTGTGGTGAAGAATTGCTGGTGTGCAGATGTGCCTACAAAATTTGACGGTATGTGTCTATTGGCACGGATGATGCAAACAAACAACGCGTGACACGACATGTGCGTTGCTACAGAGCTATTGCAACATTGATATGAAACCGCTAAGGCCACATGAGGCGGTGTAGAATGTGATACTGACGAGACGTACCTTTACTGCATGCCTCATGTCCCTGTCTGCTGAATTTTGAGCTGCAACTGCAAACACCACTGGAATATAAAACATAAGCATTGAGCACTGCACCAGAGATCCACTCACAGAGATCGAGTCACTTCCCTCGTCAAGCTGGCGATATATTCGTCGAGGTATATTCCGAGCTGATCCACAGAGCTCAAGCTGGTGATATATTCGTCGAGGTATATTCCGAGCTGATCCGCGAAATTGACCATATGTTCGTGATTGTCGGTCTGATCAGCAAGGTTCGTTGGAGCCTCACAACGATGGGTCATGATATGCAGAACAACAGCCAGACACCATGGTATCTTTGAGTTGAACCTGGTATGAGTTGCGAGTCAGTTAATCAGTGAGAGCAATATGAATGTAAGCCACTCACAAGATGAGACACGCCATGGCGAAGGCTAAGCTTGGCAGACGTACATAATATTTGGACCAACAACGATTGCCTAATATAGTAATTGAGAATGAGTATTATACTTCCGCACACAACGCACACGGTACCTTGAAACTACGACAGATACTGTCAAACTTGTCGATCATCACCGGTGACCAGACAGCGGTAATCCTGCTGGCACCTGTAATTTTCATGTTGCTAAGGCATATGTTATTGATTATCGATGTCTCACGGAGGTTCGTCTTTCGTTCCATCCTTTTGCCAGCATGGTAAGCTCAAACGCCAACATCTGAGTGGTTTTTCTAACACCAAATTCAAGGGTCGTTGGAGCAGATCCTGCAGTCCTTCCTCGAGGCAGCGCATGGCCACACAACGTTGGCTCGCCAAGCCAGGGTAAGTCGATGTACTCAACTCACAGAGAACCTTACTTACCTTCCTTCAGTGTTCGAGACTCTCAAAATGCGAAGGCGCGTGTTCGCACAGCTCGGTGAGCCTATATCCATTCTCAATTTCATTTACTTATGTGAATCCTGGCAGCAATAGAGCAAATCTCAAGTAAGTAAACATTTATCTTTCATTTGAATTCGGTACTAATCGATCAATAGGAAAAAAGGAATCCAGTCTCACGTTGACAGCCCATTCGATGACGAAGGCATGGCTGCCATCGGATCACCCCCATCAGATGGCGAAGATATTGTGGCCATCGGATCACCCCCATCAGACGGCGAAGATATTGTGGCCATCGGTTCACCCCCATCGCACAACAGTTATGGTCAGTTTAATCATGACGACAGTGTCCTCAGCATGGAAAACGATCCATCGGACAGTCATGATCAGTTCGATCATGATGACAGTATCCTCAGCATGGACAACGATCTACCATGCTCTTGCGATGTTCCAACACTGCAAGCACTTGAAATCCTCATTGGACAATGGCAGAAGGACTGGGGGTCAGAAAGCACCACGTGGAATGAAGTGTTTGATACAGAACTTGCATGCTCTCGCGCAAAGGGAGAACAGGCCGCTACTTTATTCTTTGATCAAGTCGCACAACGAGCTATGGATGGGAGGATGCTACTGGAAAGTATTCGGGATGTCGTGCACACACACTGCTCATATTGCAGGGAGCGCCTTAAGTACGATGCCATCCTACTGTACGACTTACTAGTTTTAGTCCTTTCAGAGGTAAAATTCTTCGAAGTCAAACTAGATACAGTACGTCACTAGGATTTTTACAATGTAGAAGCCCTTCGAGTACCCAAGTGAATGCAATGGATGAACATAAAACCTACAGATATTGAATGGATAGCGAACAGATAGTGAACGGATAGCGAATTCATAGCGAACTCATAGCGAACATGTGTCTTCGAATCCCCGGCATCCTGAACAACACCATATTATGAATTTTTGAACAAACAGGATGCTTCAATAGCAAGAACCTGACATACAATACATGAGCCGAAGCCGAAACAAAGTGTTATGAGTGTCATTTACGATTATGATGGTGATTCAAGTAGTTGTTATTGCACGAACTCGGATGTCACACTGACGCTGTTCGCTAGTACAGCGATTAAACAATTCATTGTTCAACTACTTAGGCCTTAGGTGCTACACAATACAGACATATTCAACACATTTACAGACTCATGATATCACAGCAGGAGTAAGAGACAAAGTATTTATTCAGTCTACTACAGGTAGCACTCACAATTCAAACTAAATAATTTAGATCTAGGGGTCAGTGTTGCACAGAGGAATTGTCTGCAAAACGAGATAGGTGTTTCGAGATTATGCAAGAGTGTCCCAAGGCTTACCTTGCATCCACGCTTCGGGAGAATCGTCCAACTTGGACAACATGATTTTGAAGGCTTCGATAGCTGCATCGTAATGTTGCGCACCATGCAGCGCTGCATGTGTCAACTGGTATCCAACGTGAGACGAAGGATTGAGTTCGGTCACCTACGCATCGCCGAAGTCAACATAGGCTACAAAAACATAGATGTCATCGCACCTTTTGCGCGTTGAGAAGTGCATTCTCCCATAGCATTTTCCCCAACTTTGTGATCAGGTCGAATAGACACTGTAGTATGTACCGATAATCAGTCATGTGAATTGAAAAGCACAAAACCTTACCAACACTAGAGGGCTGTAGATAATAATGCGAGCACACCAGCGGCGGATTCGGACAAATCTCTCCCTGCGATCGATCCGGCATATTGGGTCCTCCAGAGACAAGAACGGGCTGCCCGTCAGGTCTGTGTCGAAGGTGTTCAAGCACTGGGAACTGGTTCAGCAGGCGGCGACTTCCAATGAGCGACGGCAAATACGTCTACAAGGCAAGCCTCAGTACACAAGCCAATTAAACAAGCAAAAAACTAACCTCGTTTATAGCAATGAGCCTTGATGAGCGACGAGCACTGGAAGCTATGAGAGATGTCAGCTGTCCCAATATCGAGGATGATGCGGGATGGCAGGACGATGATTTTGACGATGTCTTGAACGGCACAGAGCCACTGCCCATCAGCCACGCTGGAGGCGAGTTCAGCGACCTCGTCAGAGGTGTTTTAGGAGACTGTTGGAACAAGTGAGCATTATCATTTGAGAGTTAATAACTGACACACACCTTTTTAAACAGAAAGGATCGTGTACGACGCGTCGATAATCGTAGTCGTCGTGACCGGATCCTGCGCAGGAACCAAGCGTTCGCTGAGCAAATGCCGGCGATGACTGACGCGTATCTTGAATGGAGCCTGGCCAAATATAAGGTAGGCTTCACAGGCTTTTTTGACCAACTGCGCCGTGAAGACACACACCTCGAGAACGATACCACCTGTGGACAATGGACAATGAGCGTGGTAGATGCGTTTTGTGAGTGATTGGTTTGATTGGAAGTTATTACATACTAATTAGTGACGGCATGTGCGGGCGCTTCTACAGGCGCTGAGAAAGTGACGCTCCAAATACTGACTACCGACCGCACCATCGCCTCAGCTCTCATTCGTCAAGGCATTTTGCCTTGTTCACCTACATCACCGATGGTGGGGATAACGACAGAAGTCCTCGAGTTTTACCGTATCGTACATCTTCGAAGTCCTCACCTTTCCATTCAGGCCTTTGTCAAGTCGCTGTGTGATTTACGGGGGGTAAGTACATTCTTTACATTATTCTATGTACATGCCTGGCACTGAATTCATCTAGGCCGAATTTCATAGGCACCTATCATGCCAATTCTCCATTGCATTCGACCTGTACCTCCAGGTACGACGTTGCGTGGCGGCAATGGTGGCCAAATCACTTCGCCGTGACTCGCCGGATTGGCGTCTTAAACATGTGTGCCCTGCTTGCACATATGAGTTAGTGGACGAAGAAGATCTAACATTCAAGCTACTATACGCGATGGATGGCAATGATTCCTTGAAACGAGTGCTCCGACGGTCTTTAGATCATGATGGCGAGTCTCTAGGTCCATCCTCTGAACTTCCTACAGGTCAGCAACTCACCAGTGACCGCTACCTACCCCGCACATTTGTCAACCAGTTCGCTTCGGACATATCGGACACCACCGCTGTGGATAATATTATTGTAGAAAACGAGCCTACAGATAACTCCTGCGCCGGGCGATGGAAAAACATGGACGACGCCAAGACGAAGAAGGCTTGGGGTATCTATGACGAGACTGGTATATTTGTGGCCGTCTGTCGCCATGGGTTTTCTCTCGTCATCGCAGACATGGTGCAGAGCGGTGAGCTGTAAGTAATGTCTGTTGTATGCTATTTTTTAAATTAATAACTGTCTCAATAGTGCGAAGTATCCTCTGGCTGTCGTGTCAAAATTGATGGACGTGTTCGGGAAACAATTGGGTGGTGGATACAATATAGGTTGTCAGTTCAAGACGACACTTGACAACAGTTCCATTGGACCTCTCGCACGCTCACTGCAACACACTTGTCTCGTTGGTGCCTTCCATGGGCATGCGCACAGGCGATTGTGCCAGCTTTTCTCACTTACTACTTACATCAAAGGTTTAGGACTCGAGGACCTGGAAACGTGCGAACGGACATTTTCTAAATCTAATTCCCTAGCGTCCGCACTACGTTATGCAAGTGTATTCCATCGACAACAGGCCATCGACGCCTATTTCGAGCACAACGACAACTTCGAAGTATACGCCAATCTTTGTAAGCTGTTCATTGTAAGACGTGATCACGTGCTGACATAATTTTCGTAGCCGATTTTTTATACAGCAACTACAAGCAGGCACTTGCTATCTTGAATGATGGTAATGCGACCCTTCCAACGCTTATACGAGATCTCAAAATCCCGGATGAGACTGTTTTCGAGCAATGGCTGGAGGAAGAGAAGGTATATCTACAAAGTCTGACGCGAGAACCTGAGGACGAAACGTTGCAGATGGAATATTGGCAAAAGTTGACGAGTCTTACTGCGAGCAAGTGAGTTCAGTTTCCGAGGTACGGGCCTTGCACTCGCTGACACAAAATTTGCATAGGGAGGCTCTGGACGCTGCAATGTCAGCTTTCCAGGGCTCATCTCACCTGGAGGCTGCCTCGTATGATGTGCAGGCAAAAAACACCCAGAAAGCCGAAACTGCGTGACGGCACGCCCTGGAGGATTATGAGAGGCACATTAAAGTCGTTCAAGCACTCGAGTGCAAGCTTGAGGTCGAGAAACGCTGGACTCCCGAAGATCCGCAATGGCAGAAAGTTGGAAGACTCGTTGCAAACCGGAAATACCAGCGTGCACTGGATCGCCTCGAAGGATTAATTGTGGCACGCATATTTGAGCTGACGAAGATGAATCGGGCAGGCACAGGTGAGTTTTCGGGATATCTTGTTTGCGACGCTAATTCTAATACTACATAAGGCTATAAACTAAGGAAGCATATAGCTAAAGCACTACAGACTCGTTCTGTCGCTATCCGATCTGCTCTAAACACGTACAACTCCATCGCCAGCTCGATGTACCCCCCACGCCAGACTCTCAAGTGGGAAGATGTTGTGGAGTACGCATTTCTCGCAGACTTCGATCTGCTACATGACACGCGTGCAGATGTGTCTCGACATCCTTGGTCATCACCCGGTGCTCGTAGCGCGATGGACCTATACTTCAAAATGTGTCGGGCACGTGAGGAGATACAACGCTTGAATATCGAAGACACGACGCCTAGCGACATATATACAAGATGAGGACATTTATCTGCGGAGGTGCGAAGATCAATTGAAGGATGCAAACCCGGCTCTTGCCCATCAGGTTGCGTTACATCGAAATATTCGAGGACGATTCAACTCACGGCATTTGAACCGGCTCTACGATATATCTAGGCTCAGTGGTTTCAGCGGGATAATAACACCAGGTGCCAGCATTAACACCAGTCTCGGGGACAGCGCCAGCACATCAAACGCGTGGATTCCATCAGCGCTACTTACAGAACACATGCCGTTAGATAAAGGTGCATCCGTAGATTCAGACACTCAAGATGATTTGGATGGCGAGGAAGAGGAAGAGGAAGTAGCAGAGGAAGTATCAAGGAGTCTTCAAGATGTCCTACGCATTGCTGATGATTTCTCGCAGCTTGAACTTCATGGCAATACTGACGATGAGAGTTAGTATAGTCCGAGTCTAGTTTACATATGCTATTGTACTGATACACGTATCGTGATACTTACTTGAATGCCATGCGTCGAAACGCGCCTCCAATACGTTCACATCATCATGAGATACGTGAGCTCATCGTACGACACAGCGAGCACGAACATTCGGATATTATTAGCCGGTGCCGGGAACACGTCACAGCATTGCCGACATGCCGGTGGTAGTACAGTGCTACCTACGTCCTAGCAGTATAAAGTTCCTCTTTATTCAAACAATATAGAAGGAGGCTCTGACACGCTGATTTTGCCTCGTCTTACAGGTGCGAACCCTATGTGTTATCGCCTATTATTACTGTCCTTATGCGGGAGTCACAGGTGCGGGATCACTGGAGGCTCCGCTGCTGCATCCGTTCCAAAGGCACCTCAAATGTGGAAGGTTTACTATGCAACTAACTGATCGAATCGAAACAAGGTTGCTCATATCCTCGAACCTTCTGTCACGATGCCGGCTCCTGGAGTCCTGGTTATGGCAGTTCAGAATGTTCTATCGCCCTACCATATTTCAACGGCAATCCTAATACCGACTTCAAAGTAGTGCCTGTAAATGGGGTCACCGAGTATCTGGACGTGCATTCCAACGAGCCTTCTGAGCGTGTATTGTCCGCTGTAGAAACCATTTACTGCATTCCGGCTTTGTATATTCATCCCTGCCGCAGTAGGAGCTTGAGACTGGAGGGCATTACGAGCCCGTCTTGACGACCCGCAACGGCATGTGGAGATACCGCATTGGCGATGTCGTCGTCGTTAAAGGCTTTGCGCCAGACGACGGATTACCCGTCATCAATTACCTTCATAGGCGAGAGTGAGTTACCAGATGATTGATTTGCGACTTTGCAACCGAGATGCCTGCTGAGGGAGCGGCTCACTTAATCTGGCGTATGGATCAACATGTACAGAGTCGCCACTGACGAACGTGATCGTATCTGCATCTGAACGGTGAATCAGCCAGATCATAGATTTCACTGTTGTATCTGACGACCGAATCGCTCCAGTTACTTATGGGTAATTGGTAGAGATTGAAGGGGAAATAGGTTCGTGCTTGCTTCGGGGCTCCTACGCGTGACTGCGCTGACGATGTTCACAGGAAAGGACGCGAAAAGGGCGGTACAGCATACTTTTGAAGACCTCGCGAAAAACAATGAGTTTCATTTTGCGTTTTTGCAAGCGAGAGGAAGAAAGCCAACCATACGTCTCGTAGAGAGAGGCACATTTTTGCAGGCAGAAATGCGACAAGACAAGTATCTGGATGGGCCAAGTGAAGGTTCCCATCGTCCTATCCAACGAGACGTTTAAGGAATGGTTCCTGCAGAGAGTCGTCATGGAGCTGTAAGATATTGCATGTACAAGAGTCTCATAATTTTTATGATTTTGGTCGTTGGAATTGTTGTCGAGATGTCGGGGTCTGTTGTACTGATAAGCATGTCTATTTCGAATCTTTTGTTCTCCGCGGGCAGCAAGTGCTGAAGTCAACATTTGGATCATCCGACACAAGCTCAGCCCCAGGGAAGTTTCAAGCAAAATAGACAAGTGATAGTACACTAGTTGATGCGATTTGTAGATATAACAGTACAATGGTCAGGCATGCGCATGTTAAACTGAGAGATACATCTGTGCTAGGTTTTTACATGACAGTGCGGACTCGGAAGAAATATCATGCTGACAATGCTACTTGGTACTTAGCTAGCGTAGCAATAACAAGGCTGCGATCAGCTCCAATAGCACATGTCAGATATCATGCAGCAGTGCGCCGCTCAAGAAGACCGCTCTGGCTCAGACATCATATCCCAATCGCTGCCACTATCCGGGCAGTCGTCACCAACCGACGCGTCCGACCAGGACTCACTAGAACTCCCACTAACACTTGCAGATCGACTGACCGGGATCAGAGGGCGCTGTGTCCACGATAGCTCACTCGAGGATCTTGCGTCTGAGAGAGGGATTCCACGTAGCGCCGGTGAAGACGCCCCATCACTCTCATCCTCATATTCAAACTCAAAGACGCTCGAAGGAACCGAAGGCGATCGGGGCGGATCATGGATCGGTGTCGAAGGGATGGAAAAGTTATAAGGCGAAGGCGAAGACCGTCGCGAGGCATCATCCACCTCCTGCAACGGGCTCCATCTCGGACGGCTCTCCCCGAAATCAAGATATCCTCGCATAGCTTTGGAGATATCCACAGCACTGGTGTTGGGCGAAGGCGGCACCGAACCATAAGTGGAGGAATCGCATGAGGAGGAGGAAGACGACATATCGGAAGCCCACGGGTCGATGATCGTGCAATCAGGTAGGCGCGGAGCGTTCCCATCGCGCAGAGTTTCCGTGCTCGACACCTTCCTGACCCTATCATGCTTCTCATCCCACTTCACCATCTCCTCTCTCTCCCTCGCGTGTCGCGCGAACATCTCATCCCACAACGTCGGCACCGGGCCCTTGTGCTTCAACATATTCCTAAGCGCCCACTCCGTATCAAGCATCGCGAGGTACGTGACGTCTTTCCAGACGCCAACCACACCCCTCCTCTCAGGCTTCAACACCGACCGCCGTCGGGTGCCTTCGTGTCTAAATCCCTGTCCAACAAAAAGACGCATCGCGCGGTCTTTCTGGGCGTCATCCATGAGCGCCGCTTGGATACGATGGAACTTGAGATCTTCAAACGCCCATTTCAGCGCAAGCTCCACAGCTTCGCAAGCATATCCCTTGCGTCGGTGGCTTTCAGAGATGATGATCCCCACATTTGCTTCTTGTGCTGCGCTCTGCGCAGGGGCAGCGGTGACGTATACGAGGCCGATCGGTTCCCCTCCATTGGAGACTTCTTCTTCTTCCTCTAAAGGGATGGTGAAATCGCCCGATACTGACACCTCGTACTTGTCTCTCAACATCACGATGGCGCACAGCAAGCAGTCTTCTGCGAAATTGATTAGATATGGTACCGGCGCTTGCATAGGCTCTACTGCGCCCTCCATGAGCTCGTTCCACAAAACGGTGAGGAAAGTATTTTGGTAGTTGGAAAAGTCGAGTGGCGAGAGAGCCACATTTTGTGATTGAGTTAACATGACAAGGCGAGCGATGGAGTAAAGAGCGGGGCTTCTGCGGCACTGTCGTATCCAAAAGATATATATCGACTTCGAAGACGCCCACAGCAATCAGTGGGTGTTGCTCAGCTAGCACAGATCACGCCTAAATTTGGTTTGTGAACATGTAACCAACCTTGTATTTAGACTTGGGCGTAGCGAATTAGAGGGCGATTCGAGCGTTGAAGATAGGGGTGGATTCTCACGACTGAAACACGAGGAGCAGGTTAAACCAATTGGAACAACGTTCTAGACGAACATTCCTAGGCATTACACGTTATACGGCGGTTTGCCACCAATGGTCCAATCAAGCTCTAGCGTCAAGTGCGATAAGTAAGGCCCATTATATAATAATACAGGTTGTCTGTGAAATGAACGTTCGATTTATATCCCTCCAAAGGGCACGAGGGGTGCTGCCTCCGTGATATCGAGCGTCAGCGGGATGTCCATGATCCACCTGACCATCATGTCCTATGTATACTATAAGCGAAACCTCAACAGTCGGATTATATCACTCACCAAGGCAGCTTCAGGTTGGTCGTAAGGAACCATGTGCCTGAAAAGATAAGCGGTTAACTATCGAGATACAAAAATAAGGTATAGGTTTCTAACCCAGATTCATAAACAGTCACAAAAGTGACGTTTCCAGCGCCAGAACCAGCGCCACCGGCAGACCGGACAGTACCAGCGACCTTTCCAGAACGCAGCGTTACCCACTGCTCAGTCGGAGCCGTAGAGAATTCCTCCAAGAAGACGGTATCGAGTTGTTCGACCCACCGTTCGTTACCCTGCATCATACGTGAGCTTACGCCACACAAACCTGAATGATGACATATGCACCATGTAATTGCACATCATATCTGAGGAACGGCATCAGAAATCCGCAGGTACGATAGATAGAAGGTCTACTCACCCGCATTACCAGCATAGATCAACAGCCTGACGCCATCATTGATCATGTCCGTCAACAACAGAGGCGTGTTCCGCATCGAATCGCCCTGGAGCATGAACGCCTGGTTGACAGCCATGTTGCAGGACTCGAACTTGCGCTGCGGGTTCACACCGAGTGCAGCTTTCACCTCGGGATCGTTCATGAAAGTCTCGATCCAGCCCATCTGGCGGTAACACAGAGGCCCATCTTTCTCACGATCGCATTTGATACGCGCATCGTAAGGGTTGAGACCGGATTCTGAAGGGCGAGAGTTCAGGTATGATTCAGTTCTCGTAATAGCAGTATACACATACGTTGGATGGGAGCGTATAGCTGAGAGTTGCAATACAGCGCAGCAGGCACACAAGTCAAACGGGAGTTGAAATCGCGACAAGACTTGATCAGCCTCTGGCAAGTCGGGACTTTGCTCCTCAGCGCAGCGCACTGCGCACCGTTGGGGTCATCATAGATCGGGTACGGTCCTTCGCAGAGATAATCGGGTATCGACGCCATCTGGACGTAGTTGTCCGTCATCCCGTTGCCCATCATAACAGACGCGAGGTTGATCTTGACAAGTCCCGCATTGGGCGAAAGAGGAAGGAGTTGGTTCTCGGTGTAGATCACGTTCGCGATGTGCGGAACATAAGTCCCTCCATAGCTCTCTGCAGCGAGATGGAAAGGCTGGGTGGAGTATTCGGGGAAGCGGCTGAGGAAGAGTTCCATGAATGCATAGACGTCCTTTCCAGCTACGGGGCTCGTGTCGACGGTGCTCCCGTCTTCAGAGTACGAATACCCGACGTTGATAGGCTGGTCGAGGAAGATCACGTTAGCGTGGGTATTCCAGCTGTGGGGGTTAAACGTCGTGTTGGCGCCTCCGTCTGCGATATTACACGGTCCGAGCTCGAACAAGAGACCAGTGGAGGAGCTGCATCCTGGGCCGCCATTCAGCCACATCACAAGGGGCGCATCTTCCGGGGAGGTGCGTGACTCGAAGAACCTAGATAAAAATGAATAAGATTATGACCGATCAAAGAAAA